TTGACTAACAGCGGGGTTGAGGCTATTACTGTGCTACAGATCATGGCTGTGGGAGCAGCTGGCAGTGACATAGACAGATGGAGACATGGGACAGAAACCTCTCTCCCAACCTGGCTGTCACTCTCAGGCTGCCCCCTGAGCAATGACGATGACTTCCATTTCAACTGACGCTGCCTGTTTCTCCTGCAGCCCAAACAACAGGAGAATCCTGTTAGATTTTCATTTGTATCATGGCTTTCACAAAGAATTCATTTCAAACCCAAACATCTCGCCACTTGAAGTCTAAGCCTCTGCAGAGACCAGCACGCCAGTTCGGGGTATGGAAAATGTGTCTAGAGAGCTTGGTTTCTCTACGGGGGACCAAGTCTTTCCTCTTCCTTTCAACTCAGAGTGTGGCAGGCGCGCCCCCTACAGACAGCTGCAAGAACCCACAGGGGGACCCTGAGTATTCAAATACTCAGCTCAAGCTGAGGATTTTCCCACTCCCTCTTGGGGCATGCAGGTCCCAGGACATCCAGATGTTATTGTTCCAGGTCCAGGGCCCCCGAGGTCCTCTTTTTCTCTCTCCTTCCCAAGTGACCTTGGGTTTGTCACACCCCCTTCAGCCCCTTCCCTTCCCTCTCAAGTGCATTTTGCAGATTGTGTGCTCCCTGTTTCTAGATAATTTCAGGGAAAGCAGTGCTGGTTACCCACATGGAATCCCACACAGCTGGCCTAGGGCCAGAGGCACAGGCAGCAGTGTGAGTCCCCACAGAGCTACATGGAGAGCACTGAGTCAAGGGGAGGAACCAGGAACCACTCTCCTGAGTGTCTTGAGCCCCAGGTGAACTAGGAAGGGGCCACTGGGCTCGGTTAAACCCACCTGAGTCTCCCCTGTTTCTCACCCAGTAGCATCATCCTGGAGGCCCCTATATGTGCTAGGCATTCGCCAAAAACCTGATTAATTACCTGGAAATTTCCTGTCACCACACCTGACTACGCATGACTCACCCCAAATTACCCATTTGTTAGAACAGCACAATGAGCCTACACTGGCTTCAGTCCAGAACCTCTTGGGTTTGCCACTGTCCTTTCAGATCCTCACATGCACCAGACACCTCCCACAGGGGCCTGACTCCCTGTTTCCCACGCAGCTCCAGGAACTCGCTCCTACTTTAATCCTGACCGCAGTTCCAGAGACACCTCCCAATGAAGGCGTCCACAGGCTCGTATTATAACACGATCTGCTTGTCATTTTCTGCCTAAATCTTTTTAATCATCTGCATAACATTTACAACTGTGGAGTTCTTTGCCCATTGTTATTTTACTAATGGAATGATTTGTGTCAATTATTTTCCTAATTGTCAGAAATGCTTTATTACCAAAAGAACACACACAGGAAAAACAGGCACAAACAGTGAAGGGCATATTTCTTTCTGCAGTAATACCCACCACTGCCATGAACACACTGGGGCCTCTTACTTTCTACTCCCCGATTCCTATAACGTTGGTTTTGTTTTCATCCCTGCTGTTGTAAGATGTCAGGGTGGCTGCTGCAGCTCCAGCTATCACACCCGCATTCAAGAGGGAAAGGGCCACACAAATCTGCTGTGTTCCTTCCCTTTACGACAACAAAAACTCCCTAAGAACCTCTCCCACTGAATCTCACACCCCATTGACCAGTCCTGGACCACACAGTCAATTCCAGCTGAAAAGGACCTGGGAATCACAGGCAGCAGTCTTCTCAGTGAATATACAAGACAATGCTCAGGTAAACGGTGGCAGGGACTATCTGCTGGGTCTGCAAACCCGGTGATTACTGAATGGCCAAACCAACATGATGAGCCTCACTTCAAGAAGGCTGTGTCTTGTTCCTGCTGAATTCCCAGCATGGAACATGTCCCAGACTAGAGTGCGTCTGGATAAACATTCACTGTGGTTCATACTCTTTTGCCTCGGATATTAGTGCAGCAGCCACCACAGCACATTGTCCCTGCATCCACAGCAGGCACCAGTAAGAGCCAGTCCCTAAGTCCTGTGACCTGCATCTTCCATCCCAAGCCCTTTTATCTCCCCCATAATACCCACCACTCAGAGACATGTGCAGGCAACCACAGGTGGACCTGCCTTCTCCTCTGTCAAATAGTCATGTTCATATTTTCAGGCGTTAGCTGAGACCCTTGTACAGTCAAGGACAACATAGATAAGAGAAATTCCTCCCCTGAGGTCAGCAGTCCACAGATCAGGGAACCAGAGACCTGAGCAGCAGGTTCTGAATTCACACCTGGGCCAAGAAGGCCCCTGAGTCTCCAGCTGCCACAGGGGGAAGCAGAGAGTCACCTGGCAAAGCCACCTGGGGATGGGGTGGGCCTGGGTGACAAGGAGAAGCTGACATGCGGGGAGTGTCAGTGACCATCACCTGACACCCAGAGGGAAAGATGGCATTTTTCTACAGCATCATCCTTAACACGAAGGTATCCATTCTCCAGGCTTCGTGTTTCGCAGCTCCATCTCTTGCCGATGTTGCATATTTGACACAAGTGCAGATACTTTGCTTCCCCCCCACACCCATTGGGCCATTCTTCTGTGCTAAAATGCTGTCACTGCCACAAAGTTCACCTTTGGTTTGGTGTCATTCATCTCCCTCCTGTTTCTTCTGAGAGCCCATTCATTCTGCTAGGCAGCAAAGACTTCTTTCAGCACCTAAGCTGTATGCGACCCTGACCACACACTGAGGATACTGAGGCACAGCCCATGTGCCCTGCCCCAGGAACTCACAGCCAAGACCAGAAACTTACAGCATCTGCTGGACCTTGCAACACTCCACGTGCACATGACAAGGGTGACGTTTGATTTTGGGAACCACCACTCAGTAGCAACAGCATGTCCCTATACATGTGCAAGCTTCATGGTGTCACCAGTAGAGTGGGGTCACAGGGTCACTGCATTGCATTGAAAAGTACCCTCCAGAGGGGAAGCTAGAACTACACCTAACATCTAGACTCCGCCACAAAACATTTAAGGACAGGACACTCCTGGAGTCCTTAAATACATTACTCCTGAGCCAGAAGCCAACAGAGGGAGGACCTGAGGTCCCAGGATAATCCCTCAGTTGCTATTTGACTCTCTGGCCACCTCCAGGCAAGATAAGAAATGACCACATGGGCATGACATCAGATTCCCTGGAAAATGCACCCAGAATTCCCCTCAGGGCTCTGCAGGTCCAGCTTAAAAGTGAGGCCAGGCCACAGCCTACAGCAGAGATGTGAGCCTAGACTATGGGACCAGCCAGAGAAAGAAAATCCTGTGGGCTGAGGGCGGGTCTTACTGAGCCACCCCAACCTCTCTGTGTTCCTTGGGGCACACAAGGCCTTCTCTGGAAACCACAAAGCTCCTCCAGCAGCAGCCCCTGACTCTGCTGATTTGCATTATAGGCTGCTCTCTCCAGCAAGGGGATAAGAGAGGCCTGCAAGGTACCTGCCCAGCCTGGCTTCAGAAGCAGCATCTGGGACATGTCAGCTATGGCCTGGACCCCTCTCCTCCTTGGCCTCCTCGCTCACTGCACAGGTGCTGCCCCCAGGGTCCCAGCCAGCTGCCCAACCCCAGGCTTCTGGGTCCAGCCTGGCCCCGACTCTGAGCTCAGCAGGGCCCTGCCTGTGGTGGGCAGGATGCTTATGACGCTGCTGCAGGGGGAGAGGCTGGTGGGTCTGAAATCCCCCCCACACACACTATCCTCATTGGCTTGTGTGAGCCTGACAGGCTGCACCTGCCATGAGAAAGGGGGGATGCAGACAGAATTTCCCTGTAGACTGTGGCATCCTGGCCTTACTCCTGAGCTGGCCTGGCCATGCAGCGCTCTGAGGGGAATTTCGCCTTCCATTCTCCCATTTGTTCAAAGTCCCCAACCTCGTACCATGCACATGAACCACTGGGGCTGAGATCAATGGAATGGAGTGAACTGAGGGTTCACTGAGTATCAGGAGCTGATTCCAGGTACAAAAGGTGAGGAAATACCTTAGAACTCGGTTTTTCATTCTCAAGCCCACTTGTCTTTTCTCTCCTTGCAGGTTCTGTGGCTTCCTATGAGCTGACTCAGCCACCCATGTCAGGGACACCCATGTCTGTCCCTGACATGGGACAGAAACCTCTGCCTTAACATGATGTCACTCTTAGCTGCCCTCTGAGCAATGACCGTGACCTTCACTTCAACTGACTCTGCCTGTTTCTCCTGCAGCCCAAGCAAGAGGAAATCTGCATCAGATTTTTATTTTTATCATGGTTTTCACACACAAAAAAATCAGTTCAAGCCCTAACATCTTACCACTTGAAATCTAAGCCTCTGAAGAGACCAGTGCACAGGTTCAGAGGAGGGAAAACGTCTCTAGACATTTCCTGCATTGGTGACCAACAGTTTCTCCCCTCCCTTTCAACCCAGAGTGTGGCAGGTGCGCCCCCTACAGGCAACTGAAAGAGCCCACAGGGAGAAGTGCTCTCCTTAGGGACCCTGAGAATTTGGGCTGAGGATTTTCCCTCCCCTAGCATCAAAAGATGCTTTTGTCCACGGTTTAGGTCCAGGGTTTCTGTGGTCCTCCTTTCTCTCTCCTCCCCAAGTGACCTTAGGATGACCACTTTCCCTCTCAGCCCCTTTCTGTCTCTGTCTAGTGCACTTTGCAGATTCTGTGCTCCCAGGTCCTAGCTCAGTAGAATTTCAAGGAAAGCAGTGCTGGTCATCCACATGGAATCCTGGACAGCTGGCCCAGGACCAGAGGCACAGGCAGCAGTGTGGGTCCCTACAGAGCTGCATGGTGGGCGCCAGGTAGATTGGAGGAACGAGGAACCACTCCCCTGAGTGTCTTCAGCCCCAGGTGAACCAGGGAGGAGTCAGCAGGCTGGGCCCAACCCACCAGGGCCTCCCTTATCCCTGTCATAGCATCATCATCCTAGAATTTTCTGTATGTGCTAAGCAACCACCAAAGAACCTGACTAATTACCTGGAAATTTCCCCTCATCACACCTAACTACACATGACTCCTGCCCCCAAATTACTTGTGTATTAAAATAGCTAAATGAGCCTCCACTGGCTTGAATCTGGGACCCCTTTCAGGTTTGCCAAGTCCTCTGGGATCCTCACACATGCCAGACTCTTTCCACGGGGGCCTGACTCTGCCGTTCCCCACACAGCTTCTGAGATTCATTCCTTTTTTCAGTCCTGACAGCAGTTCCAGAGACACCCTGCAATTTAGGTGTCTCCAGGCTGTTATTATAACACAGACTGCCTGTCATTTTCTGCCTACATCTTTTTCATTGTGTGCATAGCGTTTACAACTGTTGGATTCTTTGCCTATCATTATTTTATTAATTGATTGATTGGTGTTCATTATTTTTCTACTTGATCAGGAATACGTTTATACCACAAGAGCACACATATGAAAAACAGAGGCACAAAGAGCTAAGGGCGTATTTCTCCCTGCATTAATACCTGCCACTTCCATGAAGACACCGTGTCTTTCTCATTCTCTATTCCACCAGTCCTATGATGTTGGTGATGTTTTCATCCTTGCTGATACAAGACCTCAGGGTGGCTGCTCCAGGTACAGCTATCACACCTGTATTCAAGAGGAAAACAGCCTCATGAATTCAATGGTTTTCTTTTCTTTACAAGAGCAAAACTTTTCTAAGAAGCACCTCACCCATTGACTCTCACATTCCACTGACCAAGCCTGAGCCACATGGTCAACTCTGCTGAGAAGAAACCGGGAAACACAGGTGCCTGTTATCCAGTGAATATAGAACCCAAAGTGCAGATAGAAGGTGGCAGGGGTCTTCTGGGTCTGTAAACCCAGTGCTTACTGAATGGCTGAACCAACATGATGAGCAATTCACTTCAAGAAGGCTGTGTCTTGTTCCTGCTGAATTCCCAGCATGGAATGTGTCCCTGAGTCCAGACTGACCTTGACTCTGAGCTCAGCAGGGCCCTGCCTGTGGTGGGAAGGATGCTCATGACCTTGCTGTGTGTGAGGGGCTGGCAGGGCTGAACCCCCCCACACTGAACTGTGCTCTGCTCACTGGCTTGTGTGAGTCTGAAAGACTGCACTTGCCAGGAGAAAGGGGGTGTTTTCTTCATTTATTCAAAGTCTCCATCCTGCCATGCTCATGGACCACTGGGGCTGAGATTGATGGGAGGGGGCGAAATGAGGGCCCCTGGAGTCTCTGAAGCAGACTACAGGTACAAAACATAAGGGTGTCTCCTGGAACTGAGTTTTTTATCCTCAAGCCGACTTTCCTTTTCCTCTCTTTGCAGGCTTCATGGCCTCCTATGAGCTGACTCAGACACCCTCAGCATCAGTGTCCCCGGGACAGACAGACAGAATCACCTGCTCTGGAGATAAACTGGGGGATACATATGCTTCCTGGTACTAGCAGAAGCCAGGCCAGGCCCCCCTGCTGGTCATCTATTGGGATAGCAAGCGACCCTCAGGGATCCCTGAGCAATTCTCTAGCTCCAACTCAGGGAACACGGCCACTCTGACTATCAGCAGGGCCCAGGCTGCGGAGGAAGCTATTACTGTGCCACAGCCCATGGCAGTGGGAGCAGCTGGCAGTGACTCAGAGTGACACAGACAGACAGGGACACGGGACAGTAACCTCTGCCCCAGCCTGGCTGTTACTCTCAGGCTGCCCTCTGTGCAATGACCATGACCTTTATTTCAACCGGCTCTCACTGTGTCTCTTGTAGCCCAAGCAACAGTAGAATCGTGTCAGATTTTCATTTATATTGTGGTTTTCACAAATAATTCATTTGAAGTCCAACTACCTTGCCACTTGAAATCCACGCCTCTGCAGACGGTGCACAGGTTCAGCATATGGAAAATATCTCTAGAGAGCTTAGTTCCTGCACTGGGAACCAACAATCTTTCCCTTCCCTTTGAACCCAGAGTGTGGCAGGCACTCCCCCTACAGACAGCTGGAAGAGCCGACAGTGAGACACCCTTTCCAAAGGGACCCTCAGAATTTGGGCTGAGGATTTTCCCGTGCCCTCCCCTGGCAGGCTGGTCCCAGGACACTAAGAAGACTTATTGTTACAGGTCCAGGGCTTTTCTTGTCTGCCTTTTCTCTCTCCTTCCCAAGGGACCTTGGAATTGTTCCTCCCCCTCTCAGACCCTTCCCTTCTGTGTCAAATGCACTTTGCAGATTCTGTGCTCCCAGGTCCTAGATCTGGAGAATTTCAGGGAAAGCAGTGCTGGTCACCCACACGGAATCCCAGATAGTGGGGCCAGGACCAGAGGCACAGGCAGAAGTGTGGGTCTGCATGGTGAGCTGCATGGTGAGCACAGGGATGAGGTAAGAAACCAGGAACCACTCACCTGAGTATCTTCAGCTCCAGGTGAACTAGGAAGGGGTCAGCAAGCTGGGCTCAACCCACAAGGGCCTCCCCCATCGCTGCCCAGCCGCAGCATCCAGGAGGCCCCTATATGTGCTAATCAGCTGCCAAGAACCTGATTAATTACCTGGAAATTTCCCCCCACCACACCTGACTACACATGACTCCTGCTCCCAAATTACTCATTTATTAAAATGTCACAATAAGCCTAAATGGCTTGAATTCAAGACTCCTTTCAGGTTTACTGCTGTCCTCTCAGATGCTCACACACACCAGACTCTTTCCACAGGGGCCTGACTCCACTGTTCCTTGCACAGCTCCCAGGACTCATTTTCTCTTTCAGTCCTGACACCAGTTGCAGAGACACCTCCCCATGAAGGTGTCCCCAGGCTCTTATAATACAACCTGCCTGTTATTTTCTGCCTGCATTTTTTTCATTATCCCCATAGCACTTACAATGGTAGGAATCTTTGCCTATTATTCTATTTATTCATTGATTGATTTGTGTTAATGATTTACTTAATTGGTCACGAATGCTTTTTATCACAAAAGCACACATAAAAAACAGAGGCACAAACAGTGAAGGGCGTATTTCTCCCTGCAATAATACCCACCGCTTCCACGAAGACACCAGGATCTTTTTCACTTTCTGTCCCACCATCCCTGTGATGTCAGCCTTGTTTTCATCCTTACCGATGTAAGACCTCAGAGTGGCTGCTACAGCTACAGCTGTCATTCCCATATCCAAGGGGAAAAGGGCCTCATGAATCCAGTGGGTTTCTTTCCTTCACAAGAGCAAAGTTTTCCTAAGAACCTCACACACTGACCTCACATCTCACTAATCAGGCCTGAGCTACACCATCAATCCTAGATGAGCAGAACCTGGGAATCACAGGCACCAGTCTTTTCAGTGAATATAGAAGATGATGGTCAGGTGGAAGATGGCAGAGACTGCTGCGTTTGCAAACCCAGTTTTACTGCTTGGCCAAACCAGCACGATGACTAACTCACTTCAAGAAGGCTGTGTCTTGTTCCTGCTGAATTCCCAGCATGGAATGTGTCCCAGACCAGATGGGACTGGATAAACATTTGTTGGGCTGATGTTCTTCTGCCTGACTTTGGTACAGGAGTCACCACTGTGCATTGGCCCTGCATCCATAGCAGGCACCAATAAGAGCCAGTCTCTGAGTCCTGTGATCCCCACCCTCCATGCCAAGCCCTGGCATTACCCCCATAACCACCCACCACCCAGAGACCTATGCAGGCAGCCTCAGGTGGACCTGCCTCCTCTTATTCCAAATATTCATGTTCACGTTGTCATGGGTAACCTGCGCCCCTTGCACCTGGTATTGAGGCAGGCATGGGTCACAAAGAGAAGAGAAAAACTTCCACCACTGGAGCCAGCAGTTCACAGATCAGAGAATCAGGGACCTGAACAGCAGATTCTGAGGATACACCTGGACCCAGGAGGCCCTGAGCCTCCAGCAGCCAGTGTGGAGCAGCCACCAGAGGAAGGAACAGAGTCACCTGGCAAAGCCACCTGGAGATGGGGTGGACCTGGGTGACAAGGAGATGCTGACATGCAGGGAGGGTCAGTGACCGCCACCCGAGATTTAGAAAGGTGTCATTTTCTATAGCATCGCCCTTAACATCCAGGTACGGATTCTCCAGGCTTTGTCTTCTCAGCTCTGTCTCTTGCCGATGCTGCATGTCTGACCCAGGTGCAGACCCTTTGCTCTCCTACACACTGGCCCACTCTTCTGTACTAAAATGCTGTCATTACCACAAAGGCCGTCCTCCCCTGTGGGCACATGTATTTCATCTCCCTCCTGTTTGCTCCGAAAGCCCCTCATTCTGCTACACAGCAAAGATTTCTTTCAGCATCTAAGCTGTACCACGACCACACACTGGGGATACTGGGGCACAGTACCTTTGCTCTACCCCAGGAGCTCAAAGCCAAGGCCAGGAACTTACAGCATCTGCTGGGTCTTCCAGCACTCCATGTGCACATGATACAGGTGACGTTTGATTCTGGGAACCACCACTGAGAAGCAACAGCAGATCCCTGCACATGTGCCGGCCTCATGGTGTCACCTGTAGAGTAGGGTCACAGGGTCACTGCATTGGGTTGACCAGAGGGGGAGCTAGAACCACACCTAACATCTGGACTTTGCCACAAAATATTTAAGGACAGGACACCCCCAGAATCCTAAATTACCCAAGTCACTCTGAGCCAGTATCCAACAGAGGAAGGACCTTAGGTTCCAGAATAATCTCTCAGTCGCCATTGTAAGTAAGTCCCTGGTCACCTCCATGCAGGACAAGGAATGACCACATGGGCAGGACATCAGATTCCCTGGAAAATGCACATAGAATTCCTCACAAAGCTCTGCATGGCCAGATCAGCTCAGGATGAGGCTGGAACACAACCTACAGTGGTGATGTCAGCCCAGACGATGGGACCAGCAGGAGAAGGAGAATTCTGTGTGCTGGGGTGGGTCTGCAGGGGCCACCCCTCCTCCCTCTGTGTCTCTTGGGGCTGAGCCCTTCTCTGGAAACCACGGAGCTCCTCCAGCAGCTGCCCCTGACTCTGCTGATTTGCATCACAGGCCACTGTCTCCAGCCAGGGGATAAGAGAAGCCTGGGAGGAACCTGCCCAGCCTGGGCCTCAGGAAGCAGCATCGGGGGAGCCTCAGCCATGGCCTGGACCCCTCTCCTCCTCGGCCTCCTCACTCACTTTACAGGTGCTGCCCCCTGGGTCCCAGCTACCTGCCCAACCCCAGGGCTCTGGGTCCAGCTTGGCCCAAATCTGAGCTCAGGAGGGCCCTGCCTGTGTGGGCAGGATGCTTGTGACACTGCTGCAGGGGGAAGGGCTGGAGGGCTGAAATCTCCCCACGCCTGGAGGTGAAAGAGCCTTCCCACAAGGCACGTGGGAATATTTTCTTGGAGCTCCTCAGTTTCAAGCCTTTTCTCTCCCCTTTCTTCTCCTGTAGGCTCCATGGCCTCCTATGAGCTGACTCAGCCACGCTCAGTGTCAGTGTCCCCAGGACAGACAGCCAGATAAACTGGGGGATAAATATGCTTACTGATACCAGCAGAAGCCAGGCCAGGCCCCTGTGCTAGTCATCTATCAAGACAGCAAGCAGCCCTCAGGGATCCCTGAGCGATTCTCTGGCTCCAACTTGGGGAACACGGCCACCCTGACCATCAGCGGGACCCAGGCTGTGAATGAGGCTGACTAGTACTGTCAGGTACCACACAGCAGCACTGCACACAGTGACACAGGAAGATGTGGAAGTGAGACAGAAACCTGCCATCTCGGCCTGGCTCACAAGGCCCTGTCACACTGAACAGGAGGGAGCCTTCCAGATGGAATGGAAGTTTCCAGCCCTGTCCCTGACCTTATGTTCCTGAGAGATGGGAGCAAGTTCCAGCCCACCTCTAGGCTCAGTTCATCCCAGTATAAACTGAGCTGGTCATTTTGATGATCAAATGCCAGCTCCCAAAAGATCCCAGCAACCCTGATATCTAAGCAGCAGCAAGTCTGTCAGTATCCAAGGAGAACAGCCCTTGGGTAGAGTCGTTTTAGTGTCTCAGAAGGCACAGGGCGATGGAAAGTGTTCATAAGGTTGGGGATATGCACATAAGCCATTAAAGGCAGGTCTTACAAGGAAGGAACTTACTAGAAATGGGCCCATCTGTGACATCATAGCACACACAGGCTGGTAGACACAGGAAAGGGAAGGCCTTGAATCAAGTCTTGATTAGTAAATATTTATTGGATAAGTGAGCAGTTTACCTAGGTGAGGACTGTGTGCTCTGTTGAGCAGACCACTTACTTGGATAACTGGCTTTCAGGAATTTCCTGAAGCAATGAGTGACATTCTTTATCATTTACACCCTCATCCTCCGGGGAAAGAGTGTCCTGGAACTGGCAGTTACATTGACACAATTGGTCTCAGTCCTCAGCACAAACATTCATTGTGGGGGGGGGGGGGTGATAATGGAGGAGAAAGGAGTTTGTTCAATCCCTAGACAAACAAATCCATGAGCAGGGATGAGGGATGGGAGGTATGGGCTCAGCTGGCCCAGTCCCACAGGGGTCATTCCTCTTGTGATGGAAATGACCACATGAGGGTCCCCCAAGCGGTGCTGTGGGTCAGTCCAGATGGAGGGAACTGGCCAACCAGGGCTCCCTACAGCTTGGGCAGGGCCAAGGTCAGAGGGATGGAAGTCTGGACCCACCCTGGTCCAGTCCTTCCCAGCAGCATCTCCAGGTTCCTCCTCCCTCTATTGGGGCTTCCCCTCCACTCCCCATCACCCTCATTGCTTTCTCATCTTCTGCCTCCTCCCTGCCCCAAGGCCCTCCCGGTGCCCACCCTGGCTTCTCCCCCGATCCACACCCAGGCTCTGCAGAGCAGCCCTGGCCCAGAGACTCAATCAGAAGCTTCCATCCCACCAGCTGCAGAACCTTCCCTAAAGAACCAGACCAGTCCCTGTGTCTCCTATTTGTCGAGATCCCAACCACTCTCAGAGATGCTTGGAGGGCTCTTTGACCCTAGCTGGGAAACCAGCCCACATGAGCCAGACTGTTGGGCATGTGGCCTTCCAGCTGGCCAGGCCCCACGTGGCTGCATCTCCCTGGCCAACTCCAACATCCGGGCTGAGAGTCTGGAATCCCAGGTTCCAGTTCCCATGGGCCATTCACTCACACTAGGTTTGCTTCAAAACCCCCTGGGCCTCAGCTTCCTAGTCTTCCCACCGGAAGCGGCAACAGGCATTTTCCAGGGCCACAGTGAGAGCCCTAGAACTCTCTCTCTCTGAGCCTCTGTCTCCTTGTCAGTAGCAGGAGCTAGAAGACCCCCTGCTGTCGGCCAGTCCATGGTATCTACAGAAGGAGCAGGAACCTCTCCTATTCCCTGGAGGAGAGCTGGGGTAGAGGCTGCAACCCAGAATCATCAGAAGAGCTAAGGTCTTCAAGGCTCCTAGGGACTCCTTAAGCGGGGATCGGAGTGGCTTCGGGGGTCTTATTGCTCAGTCCGGACAGAAGATGTTTCCAGTTGGGGAAAATGACTTCAGGGACAACAAAGACAGAGATTCACCTCTCTGGACACTGGTGGTTGATGTGCCTGGAGTGCTCCCCATACCAGCGGGAAGAGAGTCCCAGAGAGAGGAAGTTGTAGGTGTCACCTCGATTTGGGGCCTCAGGGCCTATATCAGGGGCAGGTGATGTCACAGTGAGTTGATGCTCCACAACCCCTTCCCTACGAGGTGTCAGAGGGAAGAGCAGGTGGTCATCTGAGGTGTGAGTGAGTCCAACCCTGAGGGTCTTCCCAAGCTGGAGGTCCCTGGGTGTAGAGGAAAGAGATTCTGGTCAGAAAGGCCTGGTGTTGAATCCTGGTCCGTTTATTCATTTGGTCAAGAAATATTCATGGAGGACCCACTATGTGCCAGGTGCCAAGCCAGGTGACTGGGACACAGTGTTGAATGGGACATGTGGCCCTTTCACATTTGGCTAGAGGTTTGATAGTTTCAAGCCAGGACTCAGGGCTCTACAATTGTGTGTCAGGTATATAGCCCCTGTGTGCATGTCTCCACAGACTGGTTTCCTGGAGTTCCAAGTGACAGTCATCATTCACCTTGAACACAAAAGTTAAAGGAGCATCCAAAAATGTGGTGACCAGATAAATAATGCAATATTTTCAAAAACAGAAATTAATGCCCCAAAAGCCCACAATGAACAAAATTTCAGGATCTGACCCACTCACCTCAGTGGTTTCCCTCTTAGTCCTACCCACAGTCCCATAGGAGAGTGAGTGCCCACGGAGATACAAAACCAGAGTCAGGCCCCTGCACCCTCTTCTGCCGGGCCACCAGAGCCCACCCCTGGGTCTCCTCCCTCTTCTGAAGAGCTCCGGCAGGGTCCTGCTCCTCTACTGCTGGTCTCTGCTGCCCCCTACTGGACTCTCCCTTTACAGCTGCATTCCAGGCAGCTGGTAGAGGTTAAAGAACAAAAACCTCCCAAAATTCCACCCTCCAGTTCCAGGCTGGCTCCACCCCATGTCCAAAAAGGCTGGTTCTCCCAGGTTTCTGGCAGCTATTAGTAAAATCCCAGGACACAGTCTTCACACCAAGTTGCTGTGTGCCTCAGGCAAGAAACTCTCCCTCTCTGAGCCTCTGTTTCCACATCAGTAGAAGGAGCTAGAAGACTACCCTGCCAGGTTGGCGAGTCCAGTCTGTGACATCTACAAAGGGAGCAGGAATCTCTCCCATTTCCTGGAGGAGAGCTGGGGTGGAGGCTGCAACCCAGGATCACCAGAGGAGCTGGGGTCTTTGGGGTTCTTGGGGACTCCTCAGAGGAGGATCACAAGCTGCAGAGCCAGCTTCTAACTCTGAAGACTCAGAGGTCCAGAACCTCCCTCACATCCCCAGCCAATATTTTGTCATCCTGTGCCTCAGCCTCCCCCAGATCCCAGCAGTGAGAAGCTCAAGATGAGACAAGAAAAACCAGCCAGCTGGAATTTAGGGATGATGGCGAGTGGGGAGCTGGGTACCCCTGGGTCTGAGTGAGAGGAGTCTGCAGTGCCTGCAGGTAGAGGTTCTGAGATCTAGGGGCTGGAGACTGGGCAGGGGACTAACCAGCAGAAAACCAGAACTGGGGACACCCACCCATGGAGCAGGGCAGAAGCTACTGGATGGGGTACACCCCTCTGCTTTGGGAGAGAAGGGCCAGGGCAGGACCCAGAGAGCTCTGCAGAGGCATTAGAGACCCTGAGCAGGGGGTCTACCAAGCAGGACAGCTGGACTTGACCTCCCCTGCCAGACCTGGGTCCAGCCTTTGCACCTCTCCGTCCAGGAGGACATGGGGCAGGCCTGGGTAGTCAGAGCTGCAGCTGCACCCACTGGGAAGGCCCAGTCCAGGCCTCCAGGGACCCAGCCAGACTCGGATTTCCGACTGCAGCCACCATGGGAGGATGTGGTCTGCAGTGGTGAGGTCTGCCCAGCAACCATGGCAGGTGCAGGGTGGGGGTGGGGGCAGCAGCTGGGGATACTACATTTAGGGACAGCCCCTTTTTATCCCCGAGACCTGGGACTGTCCCTGGAAGGAGCCAAATCTTCTGGGTCCTGAGCAATGGGTGAGTGTCATATCCACAGAGGGGCTGGGAAGGCACAGCTTCAGCCTAGACCCCCAGGGCAGACCCTGCCCCAGCCCCCAAAATGCAAGAAGCCCAAGATCAGAGGCAGGAATAGACCAAGCTCCCCAGTGAAAGAGAAACTGTGCTGGACCAAGGGTTTCCCAGGGCCCCTCACCTTATGCCCTGAATGATGTCTCTTAGGGCAGCCACAACTCATTGCTGCTCAGTGCCTTACCCATCTCCAAGGACAGGGATGTGTGGTCATTGTTTATATAATCCAGCCCCTGGCACCTGGCCCTCAGAGGTTGCCCAAGCAATGTGTATAAAGATCCAGTCTGGAGAGCTTTGAAAACTGATTTGATGAGTCGAACCATTAAGTCATGGTCACCATCTTCAACTTCATTTCTTTCTTCCTCCCCCTTCTCCTCATTATCATCACCATCAAGAACTGTGAAGAGTCTGAGACTTCACCCTATTTGCAGACAAAAAAGTAAGCCTACCACAGTGTTAATGGATGCTGGCAGAAGATGTCAGACTCCTGGGTCAGAGACAATGGATCGTCTGTCTTTCACAGCAGTAGCGGTTGCCAAGGTATTAGCACTGTCTAGCACCAGTTCCACAAGGTGATGCAAAGTGGGCCAGGCGACATCTGCATGCTAGAGCTCAGGGATCCCAAACATTTTATACTTGACAGCAAGCATATCTGCCTTCTGCTCCAAAGAGTGGCAGTCTCTGTACCTTCCGAGGTTGTTCACTCTACAAACATCCTTGAAAAGATCATCCACAACAAAGGCAATCAGTGCCTTTGCCCGAGAGATATGCAGAAATGCAGAGATCCATAGTAGACACTGCCTCCCAACAACCATCATCTTTATCAATGAAATGAAGTCCGAGGCTATTTGAATGTTACCATCACCCACAAGAATGGCTGCTCTGATTGTCACCAAATTTATCAGGGAAGTTAAGGAGTATCTGACTCAAAATGTGAACCGAGAAATTCTCCAGGGGGCCTCCCAGGAAATTCACTTTAGGAAGCTCCTTTGAGAGTTGCTAAAACAAAACATTGAGAGCCCTAGAGGGCAGCAGATCTGAACATGAGCAGATGTTTTTAGAGATTTTGTGGCAGAAAAAGTAACTGGAAAGCAAGAGGGCAGACCCTCACTGCATTTTCGTAGGTGGCAGGGGAGGGGCCTTTCTCACCAGGGTATGGGGTCTTGAAGATCTCCTCAAACATTTTTATTCTAGGCTCTCAGGGGCAACAGAAAAGATGAATGGCAGGTAAAGGAGTGCAAATGACGAAAGGGGCCACACAAAGCAAAAGAGTTTTGCTCAACTGGATCCAATCCATGTTTAATTGAGCCACTCCTTTGTGCTTCTCTGGGTTTTGAGTTTTCCTATGCACGAAGCAGCGTGTTACCACCTAGACCCAAAGAGCCATGTCATCATCAGCAAAGCATGCCCTGGTGTCATGCAAGGACCAGGCCTCAGATTCTGACTCCAGCCCTACTGCCTCTTGGCCCTGAACATTAAAAAGGTAGGGAATCAGGCTGGGAGCAGTGGCTCATGCCTGTAATCCCAGAACTTTGGTAGGCCAAGGCAGGCAGATCACAAGGTCAGGAATTCAAGACCAGTCTGACCAACATGGTGAAACCCAGTCTCTACTAAAAATACAAAAAAAAATTAGCCAGGCGTGGTGGCATGTGCCTGTAATCCCAACTACTCAGGATGCGGAGGTTGCAGTGAGCCGAGATTGTGCCACTGCCCCTCAGCCTGGGCGACAGAGCGAGAGTCCATCTCAAAAAAAAAAAAAAAAAGTAGGGAATCAGCCTGAAGAGGCTGATCTTCATCTTCAGTTGTGGGGGACAGTAGATGATCTTAGCTCCCAGGATTAAGGCTTGTAAAGCACCAGCACTAAAGAGCATTGCTATTATTATTGTATTATGCATCATATTCCCTTATCACAGTCAAAAAGGACCCCAACTCAAAGCACCTGCCAGCCCTCTCCACCTCCACTACTGCCGAACAGAGCCAGGCATGAGTATTCCAGGTGGACAGATGAATAGGAATGCAGGGGGCGGGCTCCCTCCTAGATCCTAGCACAGCTTGCTCCCTGCTCAAGGAATGGCCTTGGGCCCTGCGTTCATCTTCTCTGGATGGTAGTTTTCTCACCTGTAAAACAGGGACACTTGCCCCATGGAAACCTCACATGTTCTGAATCCCAAACTAAAAGAACAGAAAGAGGACCCGAATCTGTTCAACGCCCGCTGAATGCTCAGCAAACACATGGTGTCTTTAACCCTCATAACCTCCCTGCTGCAGAAGAACTCTCTCCCCATTTTACAAATAAGGAAACTGAGGCCCAGAGGCACCCTGGGTCTGGATAGACTCCACATTTTTTATTTCACCACTCTTCCTTGCCTGAAGGATATAGAATCACTCCCTGCAGGGCTCTTGCCTGACTCAGAAGAGGATCATAGGGTAGCTGGCCAGGCTTGACCAACCCAGCCAAGGAAGGGCTGGTCCCATCTGGCTGGAGTGCAGTGTGCAGGCACCCCGCCTGGGGGACTGATCAGAAACGAAGCCACAGCTCCATCCCCAGCCCCAACCCCCTGAGCTCAAGCCCTTGGGGACTCCTGCTGGGCAGCTCTCTAGGCCCTAGGGAGATGCTCCACGGGCCGGGGTGCCCTTGGGGAACTGGGGAAGGAAAGTGGGTCAGGTGTTACCATCCAGGGCCCCAGGGGCGGGGCCAGGCAGGCGGCTGTGGTGGGAGGCCGTTGAGCCCTGGATCTTGAACACAGCAGAGCAGTTGGTAGCTGCCCCTCTGGGAGAGATCCCCAGGGGTAACAGCCATGGACCCTGGAAGGGCCTGAACTAGGGACAGGGACTAGAGCCAATCCAGGGAGAGGACATGGCCAATGGACTGGGGTACACTTTAACAGCCCCGCTGGAGAGAGGAACCAGGGTGCCACCCTCCAGGGAGTCCACGCTGCAAGTCAGGCCAGAGGTGCCTCTTACCCTGAAGGCCAATGACACCCAAGACAAGCAAGTGGGTCATGAGACCCCCAAGGAGCTGGGACCTGGTCCCAGGCAGCGCTGGCCCCTGATGCGGCTGGGTCTGGCCACGGTCGCCCATGGCCTACTGAGCCCAATGGCTACACCGCAGAGCAGGGTCCCAGACCCTGCAGCCTCAGTTGGAAGCAGCCGGTCCAGCCTGTGGAGCCTGTGGAGCAGGTAAGGGGCGAGAGATTCCAGGGGACGTGGGGGTCCTGTGGCAAAGCTGGGAAAGGATGACCAAGGGGAGACAAGCCAGAGAGGTGACGAGGAAGCTAACCCCTAACAGGGTCCTGGGAGACACTGGCTTTAACTAATAGGTTGATATTTTGTCCATCACAGATTTGTTTGATTAATTATTGTTTGTAATATCATATTAAACTATTATTTTTCTTGATTTCTGGGTTTTCTGGCCCCACTTAAATTTTACACCAGGGTCAGTGCCTCAATCACCTAGTCCTAGTCCCCTGGGTAGGGCAGGAACAGAGGCAGCGGCAGGACATCCACAGGGGATGGTGGCCACTGTCCCCACAGGGTGTCCAGGTGTTCCTGCTCCTCCTCTTCCTCCTCCTCCTCTCTGCTCATGTGCCTCCTGCCCAGTGAGGGCAGGGGCCACTCCCTGGAGAAGGCAGCTAGGGCTTGGCTTGGTCTCCCCGAAGGCCCTCTGTTCACCAACTTGCTCATAAATGCTGACTGGGGCCAGGCTCAGGGGCACAGGAGGGTGGGCTGAACCGAGGGGCACTGTCCAGTCATTGGAACAGGTGCATGACCCATGTTTGGAGCAATAAAGGGAGAGGAGAGCTCCCTCTGTTGGGGGATGCCCAGGCTGGTCTCATAGATCAAGGGGCACTGGCTGGTGATGGGCAGCACCAGAGGAGAAGAGAGCAAGGGGTGAGGCTGGGAGTTCCTGGGTGACTGGGAAGGGGATGCATGAAGACCATAGGGTCCATGACCCATCCCTGGGTCCAGGATGAGTCCTTGGAGAGATTTAGGTAGGAGTTGGATTTGTGTTTTTGGAAAAAATTGGCACCAGATTAAAGGCTGATGCAAGGCCAGATTAGAGGAGGGAGAAGAGCGAGTGACGGCCAGGTCCAGGGTAGATGGGGAGCCTGGAAGGAGCCATGCCCTGGGGCTGGGGAGGAGGCACAGGTCCAGAGCAGCCAGGGTCCCAGATTCTTATGAAACAGGAGAGTGAAGCTGAAGTGAGGGCTGAGCAGAGGGGAACAGGCACTCTCTGGGACTGTCTATGGGCGTTTAAAATATATAACTATTTTAGCAATAGGTGGCGCATTAAAAAAACAAAATGTATTTATCTAAATTGGGCAATTCCACTTCTAGGAATTTATCTTAAGGAAGAAATAATCAAAGCTGTAACCAAATGTTTATAACAAGGGTGGTTAGCTCAGCATTATGAATGATGGGAGAAAACTGGAAGTAACCCAAATATCATATTTACCAAAAAGGGTATGAAGAAAACATAATTGTATTTGGGGATGTTTTGTTGTTGTTGTTGTTGTTTCAAAAGAGAGTCTTGCTCTGTTGCCCAGGCTGGAGTGCAGTGAGATAGCCACAGCTCACTGCAGCCTTAACCTCCAGGGCTCAAACGATCCTCCAGCCTCAGCCTCCTGAAAGCTAGGACTACAGTTACAGGCTACTACGCCTGGCTAATTTTTAGTAGGATTATTATTTTTTAGAGACAGAACCTCGCTATGTTGCTCAGGCTTGTCTCAAATTTCTAGGCTCAAGCAATCCTTCCGCCTGGGCTTCCCCTGTGCTGGAATTACAGGCATGAGCCACTGCACCTGGCCCAATTGTGTTTTTAAAGTATATATGTATTTTCAAAAATCTGTCAGAAAATATAGAAAAATGTCAATGGTGTGTCTGTCTGGCTGGTGGGATTTCACCTAATTTTCATTGTGGCTTTATAATTTTCTGGTTTTGTGAAATTGTTCACAAAAAGGAACATTTCATTTTTATCTTCTAATATAATTTTTAATACAAGAGTAATGTACTCTTGTACATTATTCTTTTTGTAATGAGCACTTTACAAAATGTAATGACTTCTGTACATTACTCTTTTCTCTTGCAAAGGAAAAAAAAGATTAAACAGAGAAGTATATAAAGTAAAAGCAAGAGCTTCTGCTTACCATCTCCCACCTCTTCCCAGAGGTGGCCACTGTCAAGTTGTTCTGTGTACTTCCAGACTTTTTCCTGTGTGTATGTCCCTGAAAACACACACATACAGAATTGGTGTTGGGATTTTATTTTGGAAAAATAGAGTCATATTCCGCATATTACCAACTTTAAAAATAATCTATTATTGACATTTTCTATATCAGTCCATATGGATTAACCACATTCACGTGGCTTTATAAGCAAAGTTTGGATGAGCCAGAATTTATTTAATCATTCCCCTATTAATGGGCATCTAAGTTATTTCCACTAAAAAATCTAAATGACAAATGATCCTGCAGTGGAAATCCATGTGTGTATGCCTACAAAGTGCATTCATATATCTCCCCAGGATAGATGCCTAAAAGTGGAATTGCTGGATCAGAGAGATTGCACTTTTGAAATTTTATAGGTAATGCTTCCAAGTCTGTGTCCACTCATTCCAGTGAATGGTTGTGCCTTCTCTCCTACATTCTTGTCAGTAACACAATATTGTCAATCTTTTTATATTCTGCCTATCTAATGAGCAAAAAAAAAATGAATGTTTATTGTTTTATTGTGTATTTTATTACTGGTGAATTTTTTTATAAAATTTTTATTGATTGATTGTATTTCTTCTGTGAATTAAATGGTTATCATGTCGCCTGCTTTTCCATTCAGTTGCTTGCATCTATATATTGGGATATATTTGGGATTTTAGCCACTTAAGTAGTATGCATATTGTAAATATTTTTCCCTAGTCTGTTTTATGGGTCTTTTGTTTATGGGGTCTTCCACCATAAAGATGTTGTAAATTTTTATGTGTTGAACTGGTTTAACCTTTTCTTTATGGTTTCTGTGACCCCTCCATGTGTAGGAAGTCATATTTATTTCAATATTATAAAGTCATTTTTCTATTTTATTCTGGTACATTCAGTGTATTGGTGTTTTGTTGTGCGTTTTTTTTCTTTATTTCACCTGGAGTTTATTTTTCTGGATGTAGGAATAAAACCTTATTTCCCAAATAGGAAAGCTAGTCATCACACATTTGTCGAATATAAATGCAACTTTTATCATCTACTACATTACTGATTTATTACATTCTTTCTGTGGTTCTCTTGCTATTGATCTATTCCTGTGCCCACCCTGTTTTGATTATTTTAGCTTTATAGTATGTTCAGTATCTGGTAGGAAAAGAACCCATCATTGTTACTTTTTCTCAAAAAAGTCATGTCTATTATCCGTCATTCTTAGAGTTGGACTATAGAATCAGTTCCCTAATTTTCAAAAATCATTCTTTCAGTGTTATGTATGTAATATCATAGAATATGGGATTAATTTGAGAACTGCTATCTTTATAATGCTCAGCGTTTTTGTCCAGAGATATGATGCACTTTTCATTCACTCAGAGAAGTGATTTGATATTTTATTCATGCAATTCTTGCACACTTTATGTTTTTATTCATAAATGGTTTGTGAATATAATTTTATTGAAGTTATAATTTTTTCCCAATTTTATATCCTGAATGATTACTGTTTCTATTAGCAAGGAACCCTATTAACTTTTGTATGTTGCTCTTGTATCCAGCCACTTTAACTCTTCTATTAATTCCAGCAGTTCTTCAGCTGATTCTCCGTGTGTGTGTGTGTGTTTGAAGGGTTGGGGGCGGTGGGCAACTATCACATTGTTTGCCATGAACAATTTTCTCTCTTTTCCCCCAGTATTTATACCTCCTCCTCTCCCCCTTTAATGTCATTTCATTAACTAGAATCTATAGAAGATGTTGAATAATAAAAGTGAGAGTAGACAACCTTGCCTTGTTTCTGATTCCTTAAATGTTTTGCCTTTAAATATAAATATTGCTGTAAATTTGGGGAGATGTTCTTCATTGAGTTAAGAAAATTTTCTTCAGTAACTTAAAAAAAGTCTAGATGTTTGCTTTCTTTATACCACAAACAAGTGCTGAATTTATATTACTATTATATTAAATTCTGTCTCAAAAATCTTCTGCACATGTCTTAAATACACATGTATTAAATACAACCTGCTGCTAAGATGAAATTTGCTGGCTCCATCACAATGGGAATCTTCCAATGTAAACAAATTGCCTTGGGAAGTAAAATCAGATTTGGCAAAACCTGAGGATTCTTGCCATCATAAACTCTTAGAGTGTGACCTAGGTGTTTTTCTTTTTCTCTGGAGGATGTTAGTAGTATCTTGCTAGGATGTCTAGGACAGAGGACAATACAATGAGGGGAAGGCATTCTGGGATGTCCTCAGGCCTCTGGCTTGAAGAGTAACTTGCTAAAGTGAGGACTTTGTGGGGGAGCAAGGTTATAGAGAAATGAGTTTAGCTGGGATCTGTTGAGTTGGAGGTGTCTACAAGGCATCCAAGCAGACATAGGTTGAGGAGGCAGAATATACATGAATCTGGAGCCTAAAAGAGAGATAAGAGCTGGAAATAGGGATCTAAGACCCCTGGACAGTTGTGAGTGTGCACAACGAGGGTCAGATGTGGAGACAATGAGGAGAATACAGAGAGCAGAACCCAGGGTGGAGATCTGGGAGTCAGATGGGCATGGGCCTGGGAGAAAGGGAGGCCAAGAAGGAGGAGAGGGGGCAGTCTCAGACACCCCTCTGAGGAGGGGACAGTGACTAGAAAGAAGAGCTTCTTGCAGAGACATAAGGGGACTGGGGAAGAACTGCAAAACTAAACTGGGACAAGGGACTTTTTGGCCTTAACCGGAGAGATTTCAGGGAGAGATGAGGCTGAGAGCCAGGGAATCCTGCCATGTCCAGCATAAAAACAGTATCTGACATAGATGGGTGCTTGGGAACTGTTGCTGGATGAATGAGTGAACAGACGCATGGATGGATGGATGGAAGGATGGATGATAGATTGATGAACAAACATAAATAGATGAACAGCTGGATGGACAGTTGGATGGATAGGTAGATGGAAAAAATAATCTGAGATATCAGAGAAAGCTTCATGCACAATGTGGGACTGAGCTGCGTCTCCATGGATAGAAAGTAGAGGAATCACCACTTGAATCAGCAATGACCCAGTGTTCTCAACCCAGAGAGAAAGCCAGCCTGGCTTGACTGGGAACACTTGTGTGGAAAACTCAGAGGCCCTTTAAATGAGGCCAGATGAGGTTGAACAGGTCCAAGCCAACTCAGCACTTCTCTGCCACACTGCACAGGAAGGGATATGTCACTCAGGGAGTTGCTGGGACCTATTGGTCCCAGTGTTGCCATCAGCACCGACAGCCTCAGAGAGGAAGGACACACACTGGGGTGACTCCAAGACTGTGGGTGACACTTGTCTTGGACAGGGGACAGGTAGGGGACACTTCTGGGGGCTGGCCACCCCCCTGCCTCATACCTAGCCTGCCCACTGCAACCCTGTGCCCGTCATGCACAGCGGGCTCCTGCTCCAGCCCAGCCCCCAGGGAGCAGACCCCAGGTGCTGGCCTTGGGGGTTTTGGTTCAAGCCTCAGTCACTGTGTTACATCTTTGGATCTGAGACCCAGGTCATCATCCTAGGTAAGTGGCTCTCAACCTTTCCCAGCCTGTCTCACCCTCTGCTGTCTCTGGAAAATCCTTTTGCTCTCTCTGGGGCTTCCTCCCCTCTGCCCTCCCAGCCTTAAGCACTGACCCCTACCTTTCTCCCTGAGGACTGAAGGATGTGTGTTACTCTTGGGGTAACCAGCAGGAAGGGCCCCCACAGTGGGAGCAGCTGCCTTCAGTTTCCAACAGCGGGATGCAGCCTGGTCGCAGGGCCTGGGCTGGGATTAGGTAGGGTCAGAGCTCCTTCCCCTCTTCCAGGCCAGATGTCTGAGTGAGGGACAGAGGCCGGTTCTAATAAGGGCCCTGCAATGGCCTTAGAGACAGTCCCCAGGACCCCAGGGTCTAAGGACTGGATGCCCCTCCAGCCTGTGAAGGCCACAGAGGGGCCTGGGGACACAGAGGTCACACCAAGGGAAGACCAATGAAGGATACAGAGAGGCTCTGGGTCTAGGCTGCAGCTCTTTAGCCTGTGCTGGGTCATGAGGACATGAAAACACAGAGGGATGAGATTGGGTGAGGTCCCAGAGCCCAGCCCTCCCTCCCAGGACAGTCATTAGAAAGGAGAGGATCTCTTAAGGCAGAGATGTGTCTGTCCCTGGAGCCCTGTCACCTCTGGGATCTGGTGTCTGTTCACTCCTGCCTTCCTCAAAGGGCATGTTAGACTCAGGAGATGACCACATGGGAGTGAATGAAGGGTGGAGAGAACTCCATGGCTACCAGGAGAAGTTCAGGGTCATCAGAGGTTGCTGGGGTGGGCATGGGGGCTGCTGAGTCTCATAGTCTAAGGGAGCAGCCCCAAGAACACAACGGAGGTGAAGCGTTCTGTGGCTGGGCTTGCAGAGAGAGGAGACACCCCAGAGCCTCAGAGGAGCTGAGAGGCTTGTCTAGGTGGAGTCCACCCCCTGCCAGGAGAGCTGAGTGGGCTGGGCTGGGGCAGAGCCTGGTGCCTATGGGGACAGGAGGCTCCGGTTCAAAGCAGGCTCAGGTCTCCCCACACGCTGCCTGCCGGGACAGTCCTACGGGCTGAGCAAGGGACCCGCAGTTCACAGAGGGGGCTCTGAGTCCTGGAAGAATTAAGTGGGAGGCGGGGGGGGTCTAGGGATGGGAATGAGGGGGTCAAGGCCAGATTCTAAACTCAGACTCCAGAGATCAAGGGAGAAGAAACACAGCCTGGCATGGGTACATGGGGAAATGGAGGCTGTAGAGGAGAGGAGCTGGGCCACCTGGGAAAGGTGACTTGGAAGGGCTCCTAGGAAGACGCAGGGCTGTCTGCTTTCCACAGGGCATGAGTGGAAAGGATGGGGAAAAGGAGAGAAGGAGAGGCCCTGGGTGGACCGGATGGCCATACCGTGAACCCTCCCAGAGACTTTAGACAGAGAGGGGGCTCCACAACACCCGGGGTTCTGTCTACCCTCTCTCACCCGCTTCTCTGTCCAAAGAGCTCAGCCCAAGACCGCCCCCTCAGTCACTGTTCGAGCCCTCCACTGAGGAGCTCAGAGA